TCGCCGGCATCGTAGTCAGCATCGTCAATGAGCATCACCATTCTTACCACCACACAACAAGCTGTTGCATGTACCACATCCACGGTTCGACTTTGGAAATGATCATGCATATGACCAAGTTGCGAAAACAAGGTCAGACAACCTCTATACAACGAAAGGAGCCTGTGACCACACCAAAGGCCACACCATCTTGGCCTTCATACCTCTTCCAAAAAGTACTCATATTCTGGCTAAACTTCAATTTCGACCTTAAGATTTTGGTCTAATCGGCATCTCCAGCGAGACTCAAACCAAGATAGTGCAACGTTTATGTTCGCCATACCATCACTACACTGATGAGAACCAAAAGATTTCGAAAGTTCTGTCCATCCTGAATGAAAATTTCATTTTGGAGGCAAGTCCAAGTGAAGTTTAATGGCGTGCTATTTTCTTATGTGATTATATGAACATTCATCTTCATCTACGACCTTTTTCAAGATATTATTATACTTATCGAAACGTACTTACTAATTTTAACTATAGTTTAGTTCTTATCTAAACAGTTACAATAATACCGATTCAAGCTCACACCGAAGATGTACATGTTCTGCAATTTAGACTCAGAGCTGAGTGGATCATGATTTTCGCCCTGTTTTGTGCAATTGTCCATTGAGAGGCACACGAAGCGGAAGGAGCAGAGACTGGCCTGCATGGGATAGCATAGGCTTCGGCTGTAAGCGAAGCAGGCGAGACTATCATCCTGTTTTAGTTTAATCATGCTATTTTCGACTAATCTCTCGCTCGAATGACAATGGGTCTGCCCACGATGCATCGAAGAGAGAGCTGGATCGTTATAGTGAAATTCATTAAAACCTCTGCCAATACGCCTGGACTGTAGCTTGGACTCACCTGTACCCGTAGTGGGACTCGAACCCTGAACAATTCAGCCAAGAGGCAAACACTCGCAATATTTGAATCCCTTTAGGGATACTGATGAGACAATCAGACACACTCAAAGCTACAGGGTATGGCAAAGGGGGAAATTAAATGCATAAACCAAGCCTTCCTTCCATTTCTATTCGTAGGCAGAGTTGCTATCATTGCAACAAAAAAGCGGTAGAAACCGATATACCTCAACGATAATCATGCTCCAGATATTTTTAGAGCTTGACTGTTACCATATTCTGCTGCAATCCCCCCGACGGCTTAGAAACCAGTACACTAAAAATGAGACTTTCTCCCTACACTTTACCACAAGATTTTAGTATGTCCCTCTGTATTTATTTGTGTGTGTATGTGTATGTATGTAAATATTTATTTTAAGATGGATGGATGCATGCTAAATGACTGAATGACCATCTATCCATATATATATATATATATATGTATTCCACCTATATGCCTCTCCATATAAATTAAATCTTTCGGTCTCTCTCTCTCTCTCTCGCTGTATAAATATATATATATTTGTATCCAACCCTCTATCAGTTGTCATTCGTGAAAATTCATGCAGGCTGTCTCGGCTAATCTCTACGGGCCTATTACGAAAGTGGGCCCTCAACGTGCCGGTTACAGGAAATTTAGGGGCCTGTGGTGGTGCGACGTCTGCTGCTAAGGCATATTTGCGAGGGGCTGACAAAAAGGGTGAATTTTCGGGACATGAGAGTGACAATGTGGTCATGTGGGAGACTGAAATGTTCACCAAGTGGGGCCCGGTTGGAAGGGCTGCTCGCGATACCGACCGGTTGAGGGGTCGAGTGAATTTCAATTAGGCCTTTATCCGCGCCCTTTGTGCTCTTTGTCTGACATTGTGTTCGCTTTTGCTGCCAAAATCGAGGTAGTCGCAGCAACTGACTCGGTCAGGTCCGGGGCCGGCCGAGACAGTCGTAACAACAGAGACATGTGCAACGACGGCGTGTTTACGGACTGGAGTTGCATCGTAATGTGGCGCCAATTCACACGTTAGGATGTGCTAGGCTTGTAGGACCGCTCCACTTTTGACTTGATTGGCGGAACGATTATGAGGTCGGCTTTCTGCGAGTTCTCCGGGTCGTCTCTCACTTTTGCTCTCGACGCCGTCCGATAAACTTTATGCTACCCCGGCCCGGAGAAGAGTGCCTTTTCAGACTTTCACGTCACTGTTGCATGCTGTCTGTGTCTGTATCTGTATGCGTGTCTATGGGTTGGCGGATGGAGCTCCAGTCATGCGCGATTGTGCGCCAATGTCCTTGTGGGCATGCTGGTTGGTAGTCTGGAGGGGACAGCGACGTTTGCTTGTGGCTCGACAACCCGCCAGACTCACCGGCCCCACTTCATTCTTCCACTCAAACGTCGTCCCCGCCGGAATAGAAAAAAGGGGGTTGTTTTAACTACGATGCATGGCATGCAGAGGTTTCGGCCGCGTTGCGAAGGCTTTCATGAGCGCATGACTTAATGCAAGTGTGCTGCCTATCACGTATGCACGAGTTTTCAACATTACTACAAAAGCCCTTAACGAATGTCAACGCCCTAACAACTTCAGATAGACTCGTATCATCTTAAAGGCCTGCTGGCCTGTATCGCCAAACTGGAAACTCCAACTTTGAAGGTCGTCAAGGCTAGAGACCAACTCGGCTACAGGGCTCGTATCATAACATCAATCATGCTTCCCATTTTCAGGTCAGCCAAGTTTAGGCTCGGTGAGACTAGCGCTAAGACAAGGCTGCGAGTCTGTTAGTCATTCAGGCTGCCCACTCCATCAGACCTTGTGCCCGAATGGGGCCCAGCCCTTGAGTCTTGGCCGAACTGGAGCACTGGGGGATACATTCTCAAGCCATAGGCCACCAATCTGTCAGTAGACCAAATTTTGCTCGAGGGTAATGGCGTTTGAGAGTTAGCCGTATCTCTACCAGTCCCACTATTGATAGGATTTGGGAATTGGTCCAACCCATTACCTTCTTTGCTCATTACAACATCCAGAAATGGTGGCCTATCTACCTTTTTTAACTATTAAGCAAGTTTACTAATACATATCAGTTGTGTTCAGCCTGTTTGGTTTAAGCTGATGAAAGGCTGACAGTTGAATTTTCCCACTGATATGAATAGAGCTGACGCTTCCATTGCATTTTTCAAAAGTTGTTCTCATCAAGGGTGAACTGAAGTTTCGACCTCGCCTCGGTCTTATCAACAACCCCAGTGGGAGTCGAACCGTGACGGTGCAGAATGTGAGCTTGACACGTTAACCACTCGGCCACATTACCACGAGTGCCCTTCGGTCATACAGCAGATGTAAATTTCAAGGAAGGCCAGACCCTTTCCCATACCACATTCTTTGGTCGGATTGTCGGTGAAGCAAACGTATTTTTGCTAAGACAGACGAAAAATTAATAATGTAGTTGGTTGTTATTGCAAAAATACGTTTGGTTCATCAAAAACCCCACCAAAGAATGTGATATGGGAAAGGGCCTGACCTTCCTTGAAATACACATTTGCCCTGTGACCCAAGGGCACTCGTGGCAATGTGGTGTAGTGGATAACGCGTCGAGATTATACGCTGCAATGTCATAGTTCGAGTCCCGCTGGGGTGTTGCTAAGACCTATGCGAGGTCAAAACTGCAGTCCACTGGTGCCTGGATGAGAACGACTTTTGGGAAAGCAAGGTTATGCGAAA